GGCCGGGCGGGGGGAAGGTCGGGGGCCGAGGGGCCGGGGAGGGGGTTTCCCCTCCCCCGGAAGACAAACTAGTAAAATATACTCGTTGATTATTTAAATCTTGTGAGGGAGTGGGAAGTTAGCGGCCTAGCGGCCTCAGCTGCTCCTCGCCCGCTGCTGCTGCAGGGATGGGTTACCTGAAGCTGCTGCTGATGAAGGATTTCAAGTCGTGGCGGGGGCAGCAGGTTATCGGCCCCTTCATGAGGTTCAACTGCATCATCGGGCCCAACGGATCAGGTAGCAGGCTGGGGTGCGGGGGAGGTCGGTGGGAAGCTGGTGGCCCTGCTTCTCCACTGTAGCGATCAGAATTGAGGTTTCAGTTTTGGGGTCTTTGCCAGGTCTTTTCTACGAACACAATGCCTGATGGGGAGGAAACGGTAACAGTGCAGGTGGAGGCCCGGGAATAGGGGCAGCATCGCTGCACTGAATGGGTGAGGATGGTGATAGCTTGCCTATTGAGGAGTAGAGTTTGTAGGGCTTGGTGGAGGGGAAGTAAAGACTAACGGGCCTGCTTAAAATCTCTTCATATGCACCAGAGGGGGTGGCAGCACAAGCAGAGTTTTGGAGGCTCCTGATCTGTCCTTGCTTCTTTAACTCAAAGTATGAATTTTTCCAGCATGGACGGACAGAGGTGGAGCGGTTGGAGGAATTTTAATTTCTAGTTGTCTTCTCTACTCTCTTCAGCCCTTGTAGAATGAGTGGTTTGCAAATGGCATACCTTGCCTTTGCCACTCCAGTTTGTAGTTCAGCTTACTAAGGTCACATAAAGATGGTTTTACTTAAATAGTCTGGGCTGTAAACTGTAGCAATGGCAAGCTGCTTCTTGATTTGAGTCTGTGGTCTTTGCCATATGAGTAAATGCCTCTGGGGAAGAGATAGTAGCTTTGCAGGTTGGTAGCTGCTTTGTAGTTTAACCCACAAGAGCCTTCATTTGTAGATGTGCCTCCACATTGTTATCCTGTGGGTGCTGGAACTTTTTAAAATTTGATTCACTTCTGAAAAGCTCCATACAACAAATAGGATTTTATCTTTTATTTGCCAGAGAGCAACACGATAGGAAGTGAGGGTTGTCCTAACAAAGAGCCACAAGGATAGGCTTAGCATTTGGTCTTAGTTTCCCCAGTCTGTTAATGATTTAGTTGATGATTTAGATTTTTAGAGCCTGTTGTTTCTTCACTTATCTAATTGAAGTGAGAGCTATGAATGTAAGTAACTATTATTTAGCATTATTATCATACTCTTTATCATCCTAGCCCTGCTGTTCCATATTGGAAAGTCTCAAAATTATTGATACTTTTTCCGGGTACTCTTCCAGTTAAATCTGAATACATTTTATAGATGAATTGGGGGAGGAAAAATTGTGAATATTGTGTAATCTCTGAATTGAGTTTTTTATTTATGTATTTTCTCCCTAGTGTTCTTCCTTTTATGATATTTTGGAGAATAAGTCAAAATACTGCCGAAGTAGCAAGGTTGAAGGCGGAAAATAATTAAGCTGTCAACAGAAATGCTCAAGACTAAAGGGGAAAAACAAAAAGAGGATTCAATTAAGAATTTTTATTTAAGGAGTATGATCAGAGAACTTTGTTGCTGTGGTGAATGGATCTGGGAAAGTGCTTGTGTTTTTTAGAACACTGGAGTTGTAGTGGAAAAGTTCTAGTTTTGCGATAGAGTGCTTATGCAGCAAACCTTACTGACTGCATTATATAAAGGAAACTACCAAGTAAGGATTATGATGTTGCTCACTCAGTTTAAGTAATGAGCTCTAGAGATGCCTGTGTAAGAAAAATTTGTCCAACAAGGCTGAACAAATAACAAATCAGTTCTGTGATGATTTTTATTACAGATAGGCTTATAATCTGCTGCCAGTGTGTTACATCTTAGCAATATATTTCTTTATTATGTGCAATATTTTTTCCTCAATGAAATACAGAATGAGAAATAGAATTAATAAAGATTTTTGCATTTATGTATATGTTTTTTAGTTAATTGTTAATCAAATGCCTCCTTTCACTTCTGCTATGTCAAAGCAATTTTTCTAATTTTTCTTTTTTTTAAGGAAAATCTAACATAATGGATGCTGTTAGTTTTGTGCTGTGTGAAAAGATTTCTAATTTACGAGTTAAAAGTATTCGAGAACTTATTCATGGAGCACATGTTGGAAAACCAGTTTCTTCTACAGCTAGTGTGAAGATAGTATATTGTGAAGAAGATGGGGAAGAAAAAACATTTTCAAGAGTTATCCGTGGTAGGTAGTAGATTCTGCTGCACATACTTTGTGTTGTCTGATGTGTAAAATAAAAAAAAAAAAGAGACCAAGAATATTCAGTTTTATATTTCAGGTGCTGAATATTCTTTTGTATTTGGGTGGATTAAGCCCATGAGTATTGCAATACTTCTTACAGTCTTTCAGTAGCATTTTGATAGCCAAGTGTTATAATTGAAAAAACATACAGAGGCAAAATTAAAAAATTAAACAAGTGATTAATATATGTTCTTTGCTCTGTACTTTGATGTGTATTCACTTGGAATATACAGATGGTGTAGGCTCTAGAAAATGGGGTCTGACACCTTGCTGCAGTCGCAAGCACTTAAGCATCTGTCAGTACCTTTTGGAAGTATGCAACTAGAATTTTATACAGAAAAATGAAATTACTGAAGTGACTAAGGGAGTAATTGGAATCTATTTTCTTCTTTGAGGAAATTGCTCAGTTAAATTGTTCCAATAGTTTAGTTCTTTTCCTATGTATTTTGTGTTGTAGCCATTTTATAGTAATTTTTTTTTCTTTCCTCCTTTAGATAGTTGTTCTGAATTTCTTTTCAATGATAAATCTGTCAGCCGATCTGCTTACATATCTGAGCTTGAAAAAATAGGAATACTTGTCAAAGCTAGGAATTGTCTTATTTTTCAGGTGAGCATTTAAGGTACTTCATAAAGAAAATAAAAGCTGCTGAGATTATTCCATAGGAGTACACAGTTGCCTATTTGGCAGAAAAGAGGGCACACTTAGCTAATTTCAAGCCAATACATTTTTTTTCCTGACCTCAGCCAAGAATTACAAGTCTGCAAAATGGAAATAATGGGGTTTTTGTGTACATGAGTGCACGAGTAAGAAAGAAGCTAATCTGGAAGAAATTGAGTACTTGTGTTATTCAGAGTATATAAGAAAATGTGGGTCTCTATTTATAAATGTTTGGTGTATTAAATTCTAGGAGTGTTATAAATAGGAAAAGATAATTTCGTCTTAAAACACTCCTATTAGTCAAGATGCATCAGCATTTATAGAATTTTTTGTTAAGATTCAGGGATTGAAAATCCTGCTGGGTTATTAGTTCACAAGTATTTAACGAAATAGGTCAGAAATGCCATATACTTATGATGAATATATTTCACAGGATTGTTGTCTTTACAGTTGCTGAGGAAAATTCCCAAGGAAGAACTGATTTTCCCCATTTATAGAAATCCTATATATGGATTCTTACTGTGATAATAGTTTCTATGATGAGGGCATTTGCCCACTATACAAATAGAATAAAAATCGTAAAACTTACTTCCTACACTTTACTGAAAATAGTAACTCCTTCAGATCAGTGAAGATTTGAGCAGGTAACACATGGACAAAAACTGTGTGCCCATTGGCTTCGGGAGCTACGTAATCTTCTAGTGCATTGATTTCAGCTGGTTTTGCTTTTGAAATACTGGGGGGGGGGCAGGCATTAGTTAATTTTTCATTGAAAATGAGCTTCAGCTCCTTTAAAGAGGCTAAGAAGATTTAATTCTGTCATTCTCATACTGCTCACTGATTTGTGCAGGTTGATTTAGTTTGAAGGTGTTTTTCATAGACCATATCTGACATTCTAAACCTTTTAGTGATGTCATTTAATTAGGTGAGGTGGCTAAGTGGTATTCCTTTTGGTACTAAACTTTTCCTTGGGTTTGAATCTAAAAGCTTTTCCATCCAATTCTGTTAACCATAAATATATCCGGAGATAAATCTGTGCTATATGCTCTTAAAGAAATTCATTAGACAACATAATGATCTACAGTGCTGCATTTTCTTTTTTTTTTTCAATTTTGTTCTAGGGAACAGTAGAATCAATTGCAATGAAGAAGCCGAAGGAGAGAACTCAACTTTTTGAACAAATCAGTAATTCATGGGAATATGCTGAAGACTATGAACGAAAAAAGAAAAAAATGCAGCAAGCAGAACAGGATGCGCAGTTTACTTATAACAAGAAAAAAAGTGTTGCAGCAGAACGCAAACAAGCAAAGATAGAGAAAGAGGAGGTAACTCACAGTTACTCCTTTTTTGCATGTTAAGATCTCAGATTTTGCATTTTTAATGAACTTAATACAGGTTTTCTTAAAAACCTTGTTTTTCATCTATTTTTTTCAGTATGGTATAATATATAATAATTTAGTATAATTTAAAAGGGTAGAGCAATACATATAATAAAATCTAAATAAATGAAAGTGTAGGTTTGCCAGTATAATTAATTTAACTGTTGACTTACATGTTTGAGTTTTATGATTAGTGCACATTACGGGAATTACAGCTACTGGTACATCATCTTACATCACTTTGGACTTCAAATTAGACTGCTAATGATTAAAAATCCTTTTTATAAACCATAAATAAAATTTTAATGTTGGTAGGCAGAGCATTACCAGATGCTTCTCAAGGAACTGGATGAAGAAAGGATACAGCTGAAGCTTTTCCGGCTTTATCACAACGAAAAAAACATAGACTTTCTGAAAAAAAGTTTGGATGAAAAGAATATGGAGGCTCGTATCAAGAAAGAATCTCTTTCCATGGCAGAAGATGCATTTAGAGCCAAGAAAAAGGTGCTTGGTGTACTAAACAGAGACCAACAGCACATGGAAAGAGAAATGAAGTAGGTTTTTCCCTATCAGATTCTCTGATAGTTGAGTTTAAAGCATAGTCTGCTCTGGGAATTGTTTGGCAGGCTTGTTTGTCCTGTTAAAGCAGTTGGGTGATATCCCAACACTATGGAAGTCCGTTTGTAGCAGTTTACTAAAGTAGTATCTAGACATTGATTTCACCTCCACCACCATGCCAAGGTTGTCAATAATTTCATTATATAAATACTTGTTAGCTATTAAATTTTTTAGAAGGTTACGCTTCACTTCTCAAATATCTATTTTCAGTTGATATTTAAAAAAAAAAAAATCACCTGTGAGTATGTAACCTTGCTGTTGACAACTGATTATTTGTTTGCGTGTGTGGTTGGGAGGGGATTGTTCTTTTTTCTTTTTTTTTTTGTGTGGTTTTGTTGTTTTGGATGTGTTTTGTGGTGGTTGGGTGGGTGGGTTGGTTGGTTGTTTTGGGTTTGTTTTTTGTTTTTGTTTTTTTAGGGCTCTGGAGGCATCACTGATTCAGCAGAAACCCCTCTATATAAAAGCAAAGGAAAACACTTCCTACCAAATCAAGAAAGTAGAAATGTCTAAAAAATCTCTAAGGGACAAGGAGAAGTCCTGTGATAAGGAAAAGCAGAACATAAAAGAACTAGAGGTAGAATTGAATGATACTGAGAAGGCGTGGAGAGCGTTTGAGAAGAAAGCTGAAGAGATGTTGCAGAGAGCAGCAGTTATTGAGCTGGGAGACAGTCAGGTGAATTGGGAGGCCAAAAAGTACTGTTTACTAGTGAAGTCCAAAAAACCCCGCTGATGACAGAGAAACCACTGTTTCACCTATAAGCTGTAATTTCTAATCATCTCTTTGCTGTTGAGCTCAGACAAAAAGAAAATTGTAACTTTCATTTAGAGACTGTCTCATCGGATGAAGAGAAATGATGATGCAGCCTCTTGAGGGAGTGGGCTGTCTCCTTTCTGCGAGGGGGTTGGGGGGAAGTCAGATCTCACAGAAGTTCCAAATGCGGGACACTTCTAGGAGGTAAATCTAAGTTGCATAGAGATTTAGAAATTCACCATTCTGAGATTGGAAATGGTAAGCATCTTTCCTAGGATGTGAAGTACATCCTCTAAGCAATGTGAGAAGATACCTTATTAGAGGAAGCAGTGAATTTTCAGTGAACGAGAAGTTGAGAAGAGCTTGATGGAAACTTCAGAAGGGTTGTACACAGGGACTGTCATCTGTGGATTAGGATTATAGCTACATGTAATTATCCGTGGTTAGGCTGTTCTTTCTGGTTTGTTCTTTTTCCCCCCTTCTTCATGGAAGTCCACATGGTACATTGTAGGAGGGTAGGATATAAACCACCTAGTAGGATCTCTGGGTGAGAGGGTGATTTTTGAGAAATGGCTTGTCAGCTGAAGTACAGAAATATGTCTTCAATTAGGAAAACAAGAAGACAACAAAAATGTAAACATGACTTGGTAGTATACATACCATCCTCTGTGGGTCAGAATCTAAAAGTGAGGTAGCTCACTTATGAGCTATTTTAAGTTATTTTAGAAGGAAAGGACTGCATCACTTCATAGTATGTTCACATCTGAAGAAGCTGTCTTTGCAACCATATGGCCAGAAACGCTTTTAAAAATAGGTGCTAGCTTCTTTCCTCCACTGTCTCTTCCTCAAAGCAGTTTCTGAACAATTAATGGAGAGCCTGCAGGATTGGTTGTTTTAGTTTGAGAATCTTCCTACTCTGCACTTTAGAGGTATTTGGTCAGTTAGTCGTAACTTCGAAGGATTATTTAAAATGTTTGTTTACCTTAAAATTATTTGATAACATGAGAATGCTGTAATTATAAATACCAAAACTTGCACTAATTTTGGGCTGTGCAAAAAATCAGTGTTAACCTTAAGATTGACTGTGAAGTACTGTAAACTTTAAACTTTCCTGAAAAATAAGTCATTAGAAGTCTAAAACAAGACTGTAGGCAAGAACTATTAAGTGTAAGCTTTGGGTTGAATCATTCTCTAATAATAAAATATAACTTCTTATAATGCAGTTAGTAGCTAGAAAGGTCTTCTGGAGAATTGGGCGGTTTTCATAATCTTAATTATGATAAAGTAGGCAATTACTAATTGAGGCTGTAACAACATGAGTCTTCCCACTTTCAGTGGAGTGAATTTTTCCTGTTGTTGTTATTTCTCCAGTTGGAGCGCTATAAAGAGCTAAAGGAAATAGCAAGAAAGAAAGTAGCTACACTAACCCAGCAGCTAGAAAAACTTCGCTGGGAGGAAAAAGCAGATCAAGAAAGGCTGAAACTTAATCGGAGGAAGAAAAAAGAAGTTGAGGTATTTGCATCAAGCTAGAATTACGTTTTAAGGAGAAAAATGTTTCTGTACCCCTCCTTCTGGTATAAATGTCTATATAAATGCGTTAACTTCTTTGACATAAATCCTCGGCAGAGGAGATACATTGCAAGTGTTAGTTCAGTTTTCATATTGCAACAGGTTTAGCAAAATGGCTTCTAAATTTTTTCAGAGAATGGTTGCGTGGGCCCACACTGAGGATTTGGTTTTGAAAGCTTTGGCTCTAATATTTTACAGTTACTCAGAATATATGCTTAACACTAATCAGTTCCTGTTTTTGTAAGTGTAGATTTTCTTTCTGAGATGTCCTACCACTGTTGTATATCTGTATGATACTCGCACCCTTTAGAGGTTTATTTTGATCACAGCTACCTTTTTGCTGGGGTGTTTTTAAGGTCAGTTGTGTGTATTTGTGTTGTAGTTGGAAAAATCTCCTTGGTATCGACTCTTCTATTGCCCTTCAGAGGCAGGGTGTTTGGTGTGAACACAGATCATTGCTGTCATTTTGTTTCTGATTTCTTTTATCATTGCAGATCCAAACATGTAACAACAAAAAACCTCCATTTTTCACTATGACTTGGTCACCATGACTGATGTTCTCTTTTAGAAAAATTATTTCCCAACTCATTGTTCAACTTCGCATGATGCTTCTGATAGAAGTAGAAAGGACAGAAGCTCAGCTGGCGATCTGTCTTTTGCTGGAAACACTGCCTTATTAGGTGTTTTGGTTTTTTGCCCGTCCCCCCCACCCCCAATTATGCTAACCTTGCAGTTTTGTCACCTACTAAGAAGTTAGAGGGGCAACATGCATTTCTTCACCATTTAGTTATGGAGTCAAGTTTGGAGGAGACTTCTTATGTTTGGAAAACTTAAAAATCCATCAGATAAGACTTTACCAGTTCTAGAGTTCCTGACACCTCACTCTTGTACATATAAACTTGCTTGTATGGAGAAGTCTGTATTTCTGTATATGTATGAGGATGTAAAGTCATCGTTGCCATGATATCTAAGTTAATACTTGTACATCCATTTGCTCTTGATACAATACTACTTCTTCTTTTTGAAGTACTAGTTACCAGGAAAACCTAGTTAGTATCTAGAAGTGAAATAAATTCTATTGCTTGTGCTTCTAAAACTCTGCAAGTCCCATTGTACTGTTGAGAAGGAAATAAGGGATACTTGGGAGTTGATAAAATGCATGTCTGACCATTCAGAGTTGGCACTACTTATCTGTGCTACTGACATTTGGTGATCACTCCTCACAATTCAGCATGTATGTGACCACATCTAGCATGCTCTGTCCAGTTCTGAGCTCCCCTGTACAAGAAAGATACTGGCATCCTGCAGTGAGTCCAGCAGAGAGCCACCAAGCTGGCTGGGGCTGGAGCACCTGGCTTATGAGGAGGTGCTGAGAGAACTGGATCTGTTCAGCCTGGGGAAGAAGAGGTGAAAGGGAGACCTTATTGCTGTCTGCAGTTACCTGGTGGGAGGG